TTCTCAACATGATATAAGGAGTTCTTAGCACAATAATAGCAGTCATTGTTCTATAAATACATATGCACCCATATCTATTCATATACACATGTATACATGTCTGTGTTCTTTCTTGCTTCAAATCTAAAAATCCATGAGGTTCCAATTTGAGTGTGGATTCCTTAAAGTTCCCATGCCACCAATACCATAACAGAAACAATCCTTAACCATACATACAAAATGTCAATTCTCCAAATATTAATAACAATTTGTCATCTGAAAATTGAAACATCACTGTTTTTCTGTGTTCTTTTTTTATTGCTATTCATTTATTTTTTTTCTTCTCTCATATATTATATCCTGACCACCGTACCCCCCGCCAGAGTCCTCCACCTCTTCTTACCCACTTCTCATCCAGTTTATAATAATAGTCTTTCATCACATGCTGTTAAGCATGGTGTTCAAGGGACTCACAGCAGGAGGTGAGGGATTGATTAGTCATGTCAGCTTGGTCCTCCTAGATATCTTTGAAAAATACTCTAGAAATTTCTGTGACTATTACAGCATATATTTTTGTTGTTTTCCATAGTGTTCCTGTACTGCTGTATTATACTCATTTTACAAATACTGCTACTTGTGTCTACTGAAGGTTTTCAAACCGGGTTTGATAAATATGAAAACAATTTAACAACTGCTACCTAGTCAACAATGATTATAATACGTTATCACTTAATAGATACATCATAAAAAAAGATATTCACTTTAGTGTCATTGACAAATATATTATCTGATGGTTTGAAAAGAATTCATCTGTGTTGCTGGAATTCAAGTTTTAGGAACTAATATAATGCATTTATACATAGTCCAGTCTAGATTTACTTTTTTGGAATAAAATAATCTCATGAAATTAGTTTTCTATGAAAGTAGAATAAGATAATGAGTATAGACAGAGTGTGTAATCTAAAGCAACTGTAAGAACCAGTAATACTCAGGCTTATATTTTGCAGTAAAATAATATTAATAAATGAGTTTTTATTAAATTAGAATGGAATAATGCATGCAAATATAGTATGACTATCAATAAATTAACAAGTTGTTAGTGAAGATCTTTAATGAATGAGAATATTAATGGCAGCAGTAGTAGTTATTTCTATAATAATAATGTTAAGTGATATTTTACATGCTTTTTGAAGATTCATTTTATCTTTAATATTAATAATTAAGTTGTAATAATATATCATATTTCTAATAAAATACAAATAATAGTAATGTAAAATATTTTCAGAACTTGAAATATATGGATATATATTACCGAATCAATGTTTCTATACCGTTAAGTTAGATCTTATGTGCTTATTGAAGATTATCTTTAAATAATACTAATAATTATTACTGTTAAAACAATTTTTTAAAGTTTGCAAAAATTAATGAGCTAATTCATGCATAATATTTGCCTATGAACTTAAATAATACCTGCAATTTTTAGCATTACTCAATTAAAACTTGTTTTCATTGTTTCTAATATCCTAAGATGACACAATCTTAGCAAAGTTAACTTCAGAAATTTTAAATTAGTCCTATTAATAATTATTTTATTGTCTGTATTTAATTAAGTAACATATGAAATATATAGAATTTTAAAAAAATGAGTTATGTAGTAATGTATAAGAAACACTGAGTAAGAAATTGTTTTGTCATTGAAATTATTATTGGTATGTGATGTCAAAAGTAGTTCATTTCTACCCTTCTTACTTGATCAAATCAAGGATGTAAAGTATATTAATGAGTACATATTTGCTAAATTTAACTTTTCTGAAGTTAGCTTGATCAAATAATGCCTTTCTGAATTTTTATGGAAATAAGTTAATGAATTTAAGGTATATTATTGGTAGTAGGACTGTTATTTATGCTTAATGTTATAATAACACATTAATTACTATCGCTTGAATTGAAAGTGATAAGGAACACTTTACATATTTGCTAAATAAATTACAGATGTACACAAACAGGTGTTCTCAAACTCTTTGGTTTAAGGACCCTTGATATTTTTCAAAACACTTAAGGACTTTTATTTATGTGGATTATATATTGTATCACTAGTATTATTATTGATATTTGTGATAATGCACATTAAAAGTTTAAAAACATCATGATAAATCATTTTTTTAAATAATGATAACAAACTAAGACAGTTGATACATTTTAAACTTTTTTCAGAAATAAAAGCATTGTTTGGCAGGTTTGAATTTTTAAATGTCTGCTAATACAATAACAGATAAATTCCTAAATACATACATGCATTCAACCAATTGTGATGTTTTAAAGACAAAACTATGAAAAAGCACTCAGAAGGTGAAGGTAGTAAAATCAATAATTCACCCAGTCTGGGTTACATACGTTCATGTCTATGAAACGCCCAAAATATAATAGAAGTTGGAAAGGAAAATTACTCCCACAAAAGAATTATAAGAGTTTTGGAGGCTCTGGGTCCTTGAAGCACATTTTGAGAACTGCTGGTACAACTTTTTAAGTTATTAAAGTATTCATAAAAAAGTCTGCACATGATGTATTGTTATTAATGGTGTTATTATTATTGTTGTTATCATTATTGATAATGTACATGTTGTATTTTTGAAAGTTAAATCCTCCTGTTTGTTGACTGCATTCATGGCTTCCAGAAACAAAATAAAGAGGTTAAACTACTTGACCAAATTATATCTATTGTAGATGCTTTTAACCAAATTAAGATAAAGTATGTTTCACCTATGTTATCCATAATACATATGGCTCAGCATGTGACACAGAGAGTGGATGGAATAAAAGACAGCTATCAGATTTATCCTTTCTTCAATGTACCTTCAACTATACGAAAGATTGCCAGGTATAAAATTGGTCTCACAGGGTCTGGTGAGATGATGGCTCGTAAAACACTCCTTTCTCTAAGCCTGATGAGCCAAGTTCATTTCTTGAAAGTGAAAACCAACTCATGAAAATTGCTGTCTCAACTCTATAGGCATTCTATGGCATGCTCACACATGTGTGTTCATGTTCACATGCACACAAACACTGAGAGAAGGCAGCAATTGGCCTCATATACTCAAATACATAATAGTTGTCCTTGACCCCTCCCCCCTACTGTCTCTTGACAAGGCTTTCTTTAGATTCCTTAGGATGGTGAAACAGAAGTTCACAGTACTCCAGAGCTGGGCTCTGAAAAATGCCAATGTGTACCAATCTTGCAGTCAGTGTAAGACGCCTTCCCTAGGCACTCCAGGTGTCTCTCTGAAGGTCTCAAAGACTACACAAGCATTTTCAGTGGCGAGTTGGAGTTTACTGTCCAGGTACCTTTGTAGCCAAGCTTATAGAAGGATGACAAACTTTTTGGAGGAGTGTCCAGCCTCAGGATCTCGTTCTTGAAGTTCTGGGCAGCAGGTGAGGTAGGCATTGGAGAGGAACTACTTAAACTGCACCCTCTGATGCTTTTGCTAAAGGCTTCTGGGAAGATATACGAGTTTTCTTCCAGATTTATCTCATGAAATAGTCATCTTCCCTGGGACTGTAGCAAAGATCTGAGTATTTCTACTAAAGTCCAAATTTTTGTTAGAAAAAGCATAGTTTAAAAGGCATCTCCAACTTCATATGCCCTTCACTATTTCCATATTTGCGTGCCTAGATCTCAAAATCTTGAGACTCCTCACACATACCAGAAATATGATGTCTGGAGAAAATTCTTAACAATCATATTCTAAACATACCAATCAGTATTATTGGTTTTTCTTTTTGATCATTCAGTCTGATACATTGTGGCTGACAAGAAGTACTTATGTCAACTAGTATGGTTTAAGGTATTAAGCTCCTCATAGTTCTTTATGTGGTCACCAGTTAATTACCATCTTTGAGGGCACACTTATACTTCCTCTCCCATTTTGCAATGGGGATATCCAGCAGCCCACAATGTCACTAGCCTATGATAGAATCTTACAGACACAATCTGGGTCTGTCAAGGCTTTAGCTTCTTGGCAATGCAGAAAGGATAAATGAATATGAAAATTCCCTTGGCATATTGTCCCTCTGTCTTGAGGGAAGGATAACTTTATGGTCTACCACAGTGAGTTCTGAAAGTTCTCAGAAGTTTTCAGCATAAGATCACAGTTGGCCCCTTCATTTCTGTTGATATTACCTGTCCAGAATCCAGTTTATTTTTCTGTCTGAGCACTTGGCAATACCCAAGGGAATAAAAAAAAAATCTATCTCTTTATCTCTGTCTGTCTCCTACTCAGCCCCCCTCTTCTTCTCTCCCTCCCCCTTCCTCCTTCGCTCCCACCATCCCTCCTTTCTTGCCCGATCTCCACCTGTAGGCCCCCTGTAATACCCTGAAGATACCTTCTCAGCCTCATTCTGTTTCTTGACCTTGAAACCATGTTGCTGATGCTCAAGCACAGAAACACACACACGCACACACAGGCACGCACGCATGAGTGCATCCTTGGCAAAAAGAAAAAGAAATCACTTGCTTCTGTTCACAAGTTAGTTTTTGCATAATGGTGAAACACAATCCATTCAACCCTCCCAGTCTATGATAGTTGGTGTGCATATCATTGTTATTGCACTTGAGTAACAGTATACTAAAAAAAATGAATGACTGGACTTCATGATATTACTGAGGACAAATGTGAAGCTACTCCTTGGCTTAGTAAATATTTATTAAGCACTTTCATGAGCCAGGACAGTTCTGGGGATGGCACATAGAATAAAATGGACTCAGAGGACTCCTAGACATAGTTATAATCTCCAAAGCTTGTCTCAAACATGGAGATTCTACATTGCTACAGCAATGCATGGAATTCATATTCTGTTTTACTGATAAGTTCTATGAGCTGCCTGGTATGCCATGAATAGCTTTCAACAAATATCATGTCTAAATTCCATTGGGTAAAATGTTAATGAATGAATTGCTACTGCACAAACCTGCTCCATCACTGCACATGCTGTAACGACATCTCACCTTTTTGTTTCCCTAGGTGTTTCAGTTCCTATCCCTGTGATTGGACTGAGGGACGAAAGCAAAGTGTTCGTGAACAACACCACGTGCGTGCTCAACGACCCGAACTTCGTTCTCATCGGGTCCTTCGTGGCATTCTTCATCCCGTTGACGATTATGGTGATCACCTACTTCTTAACGATTTACGTCCTACGCCGTCAAACTCTGATGCTACTTCGAGGCCACACCGAGGAGGACCTGCCTGAAATCAGCCTGAACTTTCTGAAGTGCTGTTGCAAGAAGAATGCCGGTGATGAAGAGAACACTGAGAATCCCAATCCAGATCAGAAGCCGCGTCGAAAGAAGAAACAAAAGCGTCCTCGAGGCACCATGCAAGCTATCAACAACGAAAAGAAAGCTTCCAAAGTCCTTGGCATTGTATTCTTTGTCTTTCTGATCATGTGGTGCCCGTTTTTCATCACTAATATCCTGTCTGTTCTTTGTGAGAAGTCCTGTAACCAAAAGCTGATGGAGAAGCTTCTCAATGTGTTTGTTTGGATTGGCTATGTGTGTTCAGGTATCAATCCTCTGGTGTATACTCTCTTCAACAAAGTGTACCGAAGGGCTTTCTCTAAATATTTGCGCTGTGATTATAAGCCAGACAAAAAGCCGCCTATCAGACCGATTCCTAGGGTTGCTGCTACTGCTTTGTCTGGGAGGGAGCTCAATGTTAACATTTATCGGCATACCAATGAACGTGTGGCTAGGAAAGCTAATGACACTGAGCCTGGTATAGAGATGCAGGTGGAGAATTTAGAGCTGCCAGTCAATCCCACCAATGTGGTTAGCGAGCGGATTAGTAGTGTGTAAGCAAGCGCAGCCTTCCTACAGGACAGCTCTTGTAGGAAAGTTTTCCCTGTGATTTTCCTATGGATTATAACTCATGTAAATACTGCTGTGTGACAAAACAGTGTTTTTATAAATAGCTTTGCAAACCTGTACTTTAAAATCATGCTATAACAGTGAGATTTGGGGTTATATATTTACTGTTTATGATAGATAGAGACTAAGTTATTTTGATTCCTTGCTGAATAATAGTGTTTGTTTCTCTCTCCCGTCCTTCCTCATTCCCTCCCTCCCCTGCTCCTTCTTTGCTTTCTTCCTTCCTATCTCTGTTTCATTTGTGAATGTGGAAACGTTGATGTTCATCTCAGGTGGCATTTGCAGGAGACCAGAATGATGCACATGATAGTGATGATATCTCAAACCACACCTAAATTGACAGATTCAGTGGCATCTTTTCCAGGTTAACAGTAAATATGTGCTTTAAATTCTCGCTCTGCTCATCTACACATTTAAACACAGTAAGATAGGTTCCGCCCATTGTGAAAACTATCCATCAGTGAGTCAGAGACAGAATTTAACTTTGTCATCACACATTGGGGTAAAATTTGACATTGTCAGATGTTGTGTCAGTTTTTTGCTGCAATGTCTGTCCCCAAACATAGTGGTATCCTCATAGCAGCTGGTTAACCAGGACTACAGAAGTGGAAGGATGCTAAAGAGATATACACACCAAAATAGCTTTTCACTTCTTAAGGACAATGTTCAAATTCTGATTATTATGATAAGCAAACTGGAATTAGTGTTTTCATTCTGGTCCTTAGTAAATACCTAATTCCATGGCCAAACTGGGAAATGAAATCCCAGAGTTAATTCCCAGTCCAGAATTCAACATCAATTGGATTTTGATCTCAGAATTCTGGAAATTCGTGTGCTACACACAGAGTGAAATTTGCATTTTGAGCCTTATTAAAATATTTTATTAATTATGGTACCTCTATCTATAGGACCCAATTTAGCAGTCCATTTTTAAGTAAAACTAGTAGGAGAAGGGTAGATAACCATGACCTTGGAAGTTTTACTTGATTAAGGACTACTGACTTAGGCCCTTAGAATGTGAAAAAAAAAAGTAATTTAAAAAGACGCTTTTATTGAACTCTGGGAAGAATAGAAATACAGAGTTTCCATTTGGATTTTAAACAAAATTTATCTCATTTTCAGATCCTTCCAAACTCTCTAGTGCAGGAAAAGGCTGCAGCTAATTTGTGAACGTGGCGAGCTCTCCATTGTACTGCAATTACGTACTCAAACTTTAAATCTTGGTTCAAATATAGTGCTGTGTTCCAATAGGTGTTGGCCATTGTTTCATTCGTGGGCCTGCTGCTCTCTAGGAATTAAGTACCATTTTAATGAAACTGAAAACCATGAAAGGTTTTCAGAAATTGCTCAAGTCAGATCATTAAGGCTATGCTGCGTGCAGAGTAGACACAATTCCCAGTAACTGTGTTTCCATGGGTGTCCATTTCACACAACTGTGGATACATTTCTGAAGAAGTCATGATGCTATATCTCATGCCCGACAGTTTCTTGCACACTTAGAAGTGTGCCTCTTCGGATCTTTAAACTGCTGAAGGCAGAATCTGAATTTCAAAACTCCTGGAGTGTGTTCTCAACACACAGCATAGATAAATTCAAGTCTGCCACACGGGCAGTGGGAGAGCGGCTGTATTTGAGGAAACTCAAACAGTCTCTATTTGATTTACAACACTGCCAAATGTCAGTCAATTGCTTGAGCATGCCCAAACATGACACGAAAGTAAAGTCTACCTGCCTGTTAGGTCAGTTGAATTGCATGTTAAAACAATTACCTGAAATTGAATGAGACGACCTATTTCTTACTGAAATGAAAAAAATGTCTGAAGAAACACAGCATGCATTGAGCATGAGTTCTGCACATACAGACGGTGCTGTGCATGTACGCCGTGTATGTTGCATGAATCCGCTGATCCCGAGTCAATGTAGGGCAGAGGAGCTGATGCAAAAAGCGCTGGAGAAAACTCCTTCAGTAATCCATAAGAGACATTCAGATCTGAAGTATTGTATTAGAGAAAATGGGAAACATCTGATTTCTTTCTTAACTATCAGGGCAAGCTCATAGCACATGTTTTACAGAGAAAGAAAGTATAAACCACGGAGTTCCAAAAGCACTAGCAATAAGTTGAATGATAATAGCTTATAGCACATTTGTTAATAATTCTTATGTCATCAAGTAGTAGTACTCAATAGTACCCAATACAGCAGTTATCCTCAACTTGTGTGCTATTCGTAAGTTCTGTGCAGTTTGGTATGAAATATATATATTCATTTGGAAATAAATCCTACAGTACAATGTTAAAGCTACAAACTTTTATATAGCGTTTTAAAAGAGTCCATGTGACAAATGTAAACGTGGTGAATTTACTGTCAAATCATTTTGATGTAATATTATATACGTATACTGTTTAAGACACGTGCAACAGACTGCCTTATATTATTTCCTGTAATTTTTCTCCTTTGCCAAATGGTACTTTTTGTGAATGGTTGCAAAGTGTTGTCTTATTTCTGATTCCTGTATGTTACCTTCTCCTGAGTTTTGTGAGACTTCCTCTTAATTTATTAAATTTATTAAACGTGACCTAGTATGTCATGTGTCTTTTTTCCCCATGCACCGTTTCAGTATGAAAATCTCCTCCATCAATTGAAAAAAAAAATTAAATTGTCACTATGGTCACTGCACATAATTATAAGGAGTATTATCTTAAACTTGATACAATGTGTTTGAGACTTCAGAAAATGAATAAAAAATAGGTAGTTGGTTTATTGAAAACATATTACTTTGATCATTTTTAAAAGTATTTTTCTTCTTGTTTAAGGTACCATTAACATTTTCTCCAGAGAAGTTTCCTTCAGTGGATAAATATGTGTTTGTGCTTTTAAAGAAAAGCAAACTTGCATATTTAATTGAGGCAGAACCAAGCCACTAGCCCTTCCCTGTGGGAGGCCTTACTCTTTCTGAGGAATGGATAGGGTTGGGTTGGGGGGGAAGGGTGATGAGGGGATGGAGAGGGAAAGGTGGTTGGTATGTAAAAGGAATAAAGAAAATAAAATTTTAAAAAAGAAAATTTTGGGTGGGTAGGGAAGAGGAAAGATCTGGAAGGACTCAGAGAAAGAGAAGAATGTGATCAAAATTTACTTAAATTTAAAAATTGCTTTCAATTCTAAAAATTAAGTTAACAAATATGTTGATTCTTTTAAGCTTATAAAGGTGAATATCATCAGAAAATATCACTTTCTCTGACTGATGATGTCTGTGTACTAAAGGGCATGGGAAGAACAAGATCTAAGAGGAGTGGCTGACAAAACAGCATCAACAGTAACAACATATTCCTTATAAGAATGTATTCACACTGACAGATTATGCCATCTTCCTTTCCTGGGCATCATGGTGGGGTGGAATGGAGAAGAGGCTTGGCTTCTCTCCTTGACAGTTATAATCACTGTCTTCTTTTCACCAGACACATGCTCCCCAAAGAAAGGACCATCTATCATTTTGTTTGCTATGTTTTTGAGACAGTGTAGCTCTGGCTGGCCAGCAAGTCACTCTGTAGGTCAGGCTGGCCTCAAATCCAGAGATCTGCCTGCTTCTGCCTCCCAATTAAAGGCATGTGCCACCACTATCTTATTGATGGTTTTATCTTCAATGTGGACAAACTACTATAATTCCAGCAGATACACAATAAACACTAACAAATCATAGCTAAATTGTCTCTATCCATAGCTAAATGACTTCATTATGCCATCATGAAGTATGGCACCATGACCTTAACTTTGCCTCTCAACTCAGATAACTTAAGCAGACACCTCTAAAATTATCAGAGTCAACACAAAATGCAACTCTGTTTCTTTTGCCAGGGCTGATGAAATATATTTGGCTTTTCCTGCAAAGTATATAATTAAGAAGTTATGTGAGAATCAAAACAATACTGGTCTGAGTTCAGTTTTAGAAGCAAGCATGGGCACTTTTTTCATTCCTTTGTAAATATGAATGGATTGGTTCAACAAAAATTAAACAGCCCACCTGAAGCAACAGAGACACGGATATGCAGAGCCAGAAGGAATCATTCAATTCAAGGCCTTACTAAGCTATCCAGGTTGGCATTAGAATATGCCATATAGTCCAAGCTGTCCTTAAACTCACAATCTCCCTCCACAGTCTCTTAAGGCTATGACTACAGGTGTGTCGCATCATGCCAGACATCCAAACTGCCTTAACTACTAAAGCTAGGGGTTGTTTGTGCCTAACTCAGAAAACAATAAAGGCTAAATTTATTTGTGTGTATGCATCAGTGTATATTATGGCATGCAGGAATTGGTTCTCTCCTTCCTTGTTTTGAGACAGAGTCTCTGATTTCTCTCTCTGCACTGCCTACTTCAGGCTGGTTGGATGGCAAAGTTCTGGCTGATTCCCACAACTCAACTTTCTATTTCCCATTGGGATTGCAAATGTGTACTATCTTAGTCAGGGTTTTATTGCTGTGAAGAGACACCATGACCACAGCCTACTCATAAAGGACACATTTAATTGGGGTGACTCACTTAAAGTTCCAGGAATATAGTTCATTATAAACATGGTGGGGAGCATGGTCATGTGCAGGCAAGATGTGGTGCTGGCTACACCTTGGCATGTAGGCAATAGAAAGTCAACTGAGACATTTGGCAGTATCCTGAGCACAGGAAGCCTCAAATCCTGTCTACACAGTAACACACTACCTCCAAAAAGGCTGTACCCACTCCAACAAAGCCACTCCAACAAAGCTATCTCTTAATAGCACTCCCTATGAGACTATGTGTGCCAATTACATTCAAAGTGCCACATATACCATCACTTCCAGATTCTTACATGGATTTCAGTGATAAAACTTACATCATCAGGCTTGTTCAGCTAGCTGTTACCCACTGAACCATCTATCTACTCCAAGGCTCATTTTTTTTTCATGTACCAATA